ATCCGCTAAAGCGGCTTGGTCCGAAGTGCATTGAGGTCCTTGTGATTTGGCCTTGAAGGCAAATTATCAGGCGGATTGAGGTCCGCCTACGACTGCGGGCGTGTGATTGGCCACCGCGTTCTCGCGGAGTTTGCATTTCTTGTGATTGGTTTTCACAGAGACTGAAAGCAGTAAGCGTTCGCTTTGAGCTAGTTACTACAATGGAGAGGAGAGTGCGGTAGACGCCGTGCAAGTATGCTGTCACTATGACCTTCTTCACGTGTAAGTCGCCGTTTTTAAGGTCATCGTGCTCTGGAGCACACGACGGACATCCCCCGGAGAAGACGATCGAACTGTCGTAGGATCAAGCTACGCCATTTCCAATATGGAATTCCGGTCATGTGCTAGGTACGTATACGGTGACTTTTAGGTTGCCTTTGTAAGGTTCATGACTGGTCACAGCGGAGGGAGAAGGAAGATGCTTTTGCTTATATGGGCCACTTCGAAAGTACTTCCGACTGTCTAGTAGGCACTTTTCGAGCACAATGGACTCCACGCCCCTGTCGGCCTTTTGCGCAAATTAAATTAATTTTAGAATCAAATCAGGTTTAACGCAGCTCTAGACAATCATATGGAAATTGCGACTACAGCTTTTAAGGACCAAATAAGCGATGGAGTATATTGTAGAGCGGTGAGCACCTGACGAGTAATCTGTGAGACAGTTTGAATCTAAAAAATCTGTAGTTTTCTGATCGATGAGTAGATTGACCCTGCAGAACAAGTTTGCATGGCAAGAGTAACTTAAGAGGACTGCTTTGTTCATTCTAACTCTTCTTTTGACAGAGTTCCGTCAGTCAAATCGATGAGTAGGTTGACCCTGCGGACCAAAGTTGCACAGTAACAGTAACTTAAAAGGACTGATTTATTAATTGCAACCCCCCTTTCCACAGAGTTCCGTCACCCGTTTCTGCAACTCTCTTCCGCTGATGTCTCTGATGAAGAAGCGTCGACGTATGTCAAAACGCCAGATGAACAAAAGTCTTGTTCCAGCAATCGCATTTTCTTCTTCTTAGAGCTCCGTCAGTCAAATATTTGCCTGAAGCAAGATTTTGCCAGATAAACCTATTGTAATAGTCTGCTTCAAACCGACTTTACCCGAGTAATTTGAGTCGAATGTCGACCCTACAGCAAGCGCACAGCTACTTCCAGAAATATAAGGGGTACCGCAAAAAACAAGCATCTTTTTTCGGAAGGCAAGTGGATTCGCAATGCTGCCTTCTTCTGCTAAGTACATTTACTACACAGTCTTCCTGTTCAGTTGACAAAGTAGTGTTCATTGGAAACCTTTAACGTCTAAGTAAAGGTTGTGCTTAGATCACTACAATCATCAGGCCAAATCCCAGGTGGTAGGTAAAAGGCTGAAGGCACCTGTGAGATGGATTGACTATATACAGAACCCGCAGTCGCTGTCTCAGAGGGCAGTGGCCACTGGCGAAGCCAGCACTAGTGCTGTCTGCGTCCAGTCAAAGCATGAGACAGTGGTGGTAGCTGCCTAAATAGGATTGCGGAGCAGGTTCAAGTGTTCTCCAATTGGCGCGTGGGACATTACCAGAGGGGTTTAGTGTCTGGGGGCGTAGGCTGTATCGACCGAGGGTGAGGGAGAGGGACATGTTCAAGTGGCGCTCGGGCGGCCAAAACTACTTGGACGCAAGTCTGTGTGTGTGTGTGTCTGAGTGGAAGTCGGTCAAGTGTCTGCAGGTCAGCGCGTCTGGAAGCGTTGACTGAGATAATGGATGACCTTGAGGCAGTCGGCCTTGAACAAAGAAGCCGGACACAGCAATGTTGGGTGCCGGCTACAAACCATCGCATCGGAAAGACGGATTTTCTTTTATTAAACTCCCTTCCAATGCTGTCGTCAATTTTGCGACTCCAAACTTTGAGGAGCAACGCGTGCATGGTCATTTTGGTTTTTCCACGTGAAGGGGGTCTTACGGATTAAATTTGTTTCCAGTGGTACCACACTGAGTCCGCATTACTACCTATAAGTGCGGACGCATTGGCGTGAGAAAAAAACGAACTAAATTGTATCATTAAGTGGATCCGACATCAGCCAGTCATACCCAATCTCAAGGGTTGGAACCCCCGAGATTTGAACCCGGGACCTTTGGTCATTGAGTTCAATACTCTACCTATAGTCTACGGGCTCCTTGCTTTGTCGGTTGAGATCGAAAAATATGATGATTGTATGTGTTTCGCCGATCTAGTAAAGGAAAAATTAAGTTCCGCTTTGCCCAGGAGCTCAAAACATGAACCCGCCAGACCGTCACGTACATAAGCGAAACACATACATTCATAAATTGTATCAATCAGGCGAAACACATGCACGAAACACATACATTCATAAAATGTATCAATTGGGCGTTTGCTTGCTTCATCTTTACAACGCGCCCATCCGCACAGCGTTTTAGACCAACCAGTTTTGGCGAGTAACTGTATGAAAACGGTTTTTCGTAACCTAACTCGCCCGACCTAGCACCTTGTGACTTCTTGTTATTCCGCAAAATAAAGAAATCCCTAAAGCGCTTTCAGAATGTATGTGCACATAATTTATAGGTTTTTACAAAACTACACATTGTAGCGACTCATATTTACAAATTCCAATGTCATTCGTACACGAAGACAGTTCGATACAAGAAACAATGCACTCCTTTTAATGGTTGACTTTCCCCATTCTTAAAGATAAACATATGCTTTCGGTTAAAGCAATTCCCCGCTGCCAACTTATACATGTTATTCACGAACTCCCCCCTCCCACGATTGGCAGGTAAAGACTGACTCCCGCTGAAGGCCGCACCCATGTGTATTTACTATTCCCCCTGCTCCTGTGGAGCAGGATACACTAGCCGAACAGCGAGGGGCCTGGAAAAGAGGGAACGTGAACACGTACAGGCCTAGTTAAGTAAAGATAAAACAAGATCGAGCTCAAATTTTCTTCTCCCACACCTTGTCGATATGAATCACCGAGTCGATAATAATGAAGCCTTTCAGGTTGCTCCCGGACACCAGCCATCTTCTCCAAGGGTCTACACCAGCGGGTGTGTTTATAGATAGAGAACAAGAAGGTAGGTCGATCACCGGATATAGGGTATTTATTCGTCTGAGCTTTCGAGCTCTTATTGCAGTCCGGTGTCAGAGATAAAAGCGTCATCGAAAAAAAAGCAACAGTTGTAGGAGGCAGGGAGCAATCAACCACCAGTGACGTCAATCCGGAGATGTCTGTGCAAGGCGATGAGCTTTCTCTCTGTCTTTCTATAGCCAAAATATACAGCCCTTAATTTCGATTTTTATAAAATCTCCACGGCAAAGAATTAGACTTCTCCGCAAAGTCTGGAATTTTAGGGTGATTTTGAAACCCATGCAGATCCTGCTGAATAATGCATTCTGATAGAATACATTTGGTATTCTTTCTATTCCTGTAAACGTGCACAAAATTAGTTGAGTGCTCTTTGCTACCTATCACCTTCAATGTAAGTCTGCCTTAGAATGGTTGGATAAACACCAACAATTTACTGGTTACAGTCTCATTCCCGTGCGAAGTTGAATAAATATCGATTTGTTTCTTACTTTCCCCGGTTGAGCAAGATAAGAAACTAGGTAAATTCGCAAACACTAAGAAATCTCTATTTTCCAATTAGCAGCACTGGTTGAACCTCACAACAAGCCGTGAAAAGGGTTTAGCAAATATTAAATCAACGGTAAGTTAAGGAGTGAAGGCAGTATGCGCAGAGAAATTACTAAAAATGATCAATAGAGTTTTAAAAAATGTACAAGGCAAAGATCACTAGATTCACAGAATTTAATGACGTCATAAAATTTCGTGACCCCTCATTCAGCTGCAGACGGTCGTTGCCTATTAATAAGAGAATTAACTGTCCAATTAAGGTCGTACTTCGGGCAACGACCGGGCGTACCCTACGCTTTGCGGAGGCCGCTGCAATACGGAGGAGAAAACCAGAACTCTGTAAGCAGCTGGACCATGTGAT